GACATGATCACTCTGGCAAGTGCTGCAGAGGAGCCTGAGCCTTCCCCCGCTCCAGGCCACAGTGGCTCTGCCTTGGCACCACCTCCTTTCCCTTGCCTATGGTAGCAGGAGCAGGGTGATCAGAAGGAACTCCCCGCTGGGCAAGAGGGGGGCTGGCATTCGCTGTGTGCTAATCCCAGGCCTGAGGTCTTCAGAGGGACCTGGGAAACTTCAAGGAGGGGAAGGCAAAGCTGTAGTGTAGACGAGCTCATTAGCCAGCACCCCCTACTCCCCCACGAGCAGGAGGGCGGGCGGCCCAGTGAGCTGGCGGCAGAGGCGGCAGAGAAAAGGCTGTCACTGTCCTTTCTTCCTTTTGGTACAAGCGTCTCCCTGAGCCGCCGATTCTCCCGCGGTGACACCTCTCACGGTCACTAATGAGATCCGTGTCACAGAGCTAATGCGTTCTGACTGGACTCTTGATAGACACCCCACTCTTTCAGGGGAGACCACAGGCCAGTACTGCCCCCGGGGGGGCAGGCCCCCACCTAGCTACCTGCCAGCCCAGCTCTCTTGCCAAACGGTGCTGGGCAGTAAGTGCCAGAGAGTGCACTTGGCCTCCAGCCACGCCCCTGCCCAGCAGCTTCAGAACCATCCTTCCCTATCTGGAGCACAGGGGCTACGCTCCAGGGCAGGACCACCCAGCCGGGCATCCGGGAGGGGTCCAGTTACCCTCCCAGCCAGCAGAAAGGAGCCGTCTATAGGGCCTCCACGTCACAATCACGCGTGAGATTTTACTGATATCTCCTGTGCAGATTTCCAAAAAGAAAGGCTGCAAGGAGGCCCAAGCCCTGCCTTCAGAGAGCCCTAGTGTGTAGGGCCTGGTCATCACCTCTCACAAATTGTAATTGAGCCCAAGCTTGTGCTCTGCACACTCCTAATGAGAGGGCCAGGATGCTTCCCAGAGGAGGCGGTCTCTGAAAGAGGGGAAGGATTTTCCTGGGCCAAGAGGTGGAGAGCAAACTAAAATCACAGGAACCATCAGGGCCCAAAGGAGGGCAGAGGCCCGCAGCACAGGGTGCAATGCCTCTTTTCCTTTCTCAGGAAGCCTTCTGAAGCCTGCTGAGCCCAATGTGTTCCACAGGATGCTGAGGGAAGGGCATCTGTCTTCTTGTACACTGTCTCTGTTGGCAGCACAATGGCCGACTTCAAAAGGGTGCTTCGGCATCTAGTACAACGCTCAGAACACAGGCTCTGCACTTGGATGGACCTGGGTTACAATCCTGGCCCTCAAATCAATGGGCTGTGTGACCTCAGGAAAGTCACTTAACTAAGTCTCAGTTTCCTCATCTCTAAAAACGGGAATGATGATGCCCGCCTTTATATTACTGCTTTGAAAATTAAATTGGTTAATATGAAGTACCCCCAAAGAACACACCTTGCTGATCTTTTGCCGAAATCAAAGCAAGACCACTCACAGGCCCTGTGGCAGCAGCCCTGCCTCAGAGCCCTGGGCCTAAGCCAAGGATGCTGATAGACTCCACCAGCAGCCTTAGCAATCAGCCGTTCTGATCTACTCCACACTACCTTGCTTATCAGGTTCCCAAGGCCAAACACACCAGGCCAGCAGGGATCCAGTCTCCCCTGACTAGGATGTCACACTGGTGCACCTCTGATGGCCTCCTTGTCCAGAGCTTCGCCCATCCCTGAACCTTCTCTCTCCCTGCACATCCAGGGCCCAGCTCATGATCCTACCTGCGAGCTTTGCTGGGGCAGGGCACTGTGTCTGACATCTTTACCAACACTTTCTAGCACCTGTCACAGCTTTTGACCTGTAGCAAGTGCAAGGTACACATTGCATGAGAGGTCCCTTGCTTCCACTCCCACAGCCACTGCCCTGGCTCTGCATCAACCAGCATCTCTTGCTCACTTTACTGTATCTCCCCCTGCCAGCCTGCCTGCACTTCCTCCTCACTAGACCTTCCTGGAAAAACCAGCAGACCACTCTGACCAAGTCACTCCCTGGTCCCAGACACTTCCATGTCTCCCCACTGCCCACAGACATCCCAGTTGGCCCTCTCTCCTCTAGAGCCTTATTGTCCTGCCCCACACCTGTCACCACAACCCTCCAGCAAGCCTGCCTCCATACCACCAATGCCATGCCCCAGGCCACTGTGAGAGAACCAAGCACACCCTGGAGATGGCTAAGGGGTGGGGTGTGCAGAGCCTCAGACCAGCATCTCCCAATGCCGCCTCACCCCCACCCCCACCAATATACATACCACTCCCTACTCCAGGCTGGCAGCTCCTCACACAGTTAATTAGCACCATGTCACTGAGGACCAGCCTGAGTGGCCAGTGACAGAAGCTGACCCTTGACCCCAGGGCTGGAAAGCAGTCCACATCAAACTCTTACAGCGCGACCCTTTTAGCACGCACAGTAACTCGGGGCACCGCCAGCTGAAGCTCATTAAAGCTGTCTCTTTGGCGCGAGGGCCATTAACCTCACTGCTCAAAACCCATGCCTCCCCTCCCTGCCTCTCCCAGCCCAATTAATGCCCTGCGTCCTCCTCCCTTCCAAGCACCCTCACCCACACCTCAGAGCCAGCCAGGAGCTGGCAGGGCAGCCCTCTTCATTCAGAGACTACAAAGACCAAGTGCCAAGAAGCCCCAGGGCCGTGGAGAGCCCCCGAGGTTGGCAGGCCGCAGACGGGGCATTCCTGAGCACCCACTGGTTGCAGGCTTTGCAGAGGCCCTGCAGCCCTTCACTCGGGTGACTCAGTGGAACCCCGCATTGGCCCTGAGAAGCAGGTAGCACTGCCCTTTGTTTAAGGTCACAGAGCTGTGGGTGGGACAGCCAGAACTCCCTGTCCAAAGCCCTCACTCTACTTCACTCTGGGCTGCGGGCTGGGCCCTAGGAGGGAGGGAGAAACATTCTTTTATGAAGACGGAAGGGATAGCTGAGGGCTCCTCATCCGGGGTCAGCGAAGATGAGCAGACAGAGGGATGCCACTGTGACTCAAGAAGCAACAAAAAGTGGGGACAGGGAACCCCTTCTCCCTCTGAACACAACTTGAATCAGACACACAGAAGCAAGGCCCCTGGCTCAAGGCCATGTGGGAGCCCTACTGGTGGTCCCCACCCCATCCCCGAAAGAAGCAATTACTGCAGCTCCTTCTCATAGGCAAGTCCGTTCTGGCATTCCCTTTCCCATCATTCTTTTATGAATTCATTTATTCTCTCATTCTTTGATCCATCCATAAGCACATCCATAAGCACTAGTTTTGAGCAGCACAAACTGCCTTGTGGATTGTGAATCAGAGCTCTGATCATGTCATTCTCTCACAATCTTCCTATGTCTCCTCTAAACCCCAGGAAAAAAATCCATACCTTTTATCTGGGCATTATTCCTCCCTGTATTTTCTAGCTGCTCCCTAGTTCTGATTTTCAACTCCAGCCACTGGAACCTACTTGTAGATGTTTAAGCTTATCCTAACATGCTGGGCTTTCTCATACCCCAGGCCTTTGTACACACATTCCTCCTACCTGGGACACGCTTCTCTCATTGTTCCACCTTGGAAACTCATTCCTCCTTCAAGGATCCCAACTCAAGTATCCTATTCTCCAGGAAACTTCCCGCTGACCTCCCAGTGCATCACCATGCTGGGTTTGGTTGCATGGAAAAGCTTCTGTGGGAGGGAAGACCCAGTTCTTTGGGCCTTTCAGTGCGTTCTCTTTTCCTCTGAGACCCAAGAAGAGCCTTTAGATGTCCCAATAAGAAAGATACCAGGCAGGAGTCAGTGGGGGTGCAAACAGAAGTAGAAGCCACCTTGACAACTAAGAATAGAGAAAACCTCCCTTGGGGCAACCAAGGGCTTTCTATCGCAGCTCTTAGTACTGTGGCAAGCACCTGTTTCAGTGTCTGCTTCCTCCTAGGATGTGAGCTTCATGAGTTTGGGACCTTCCCCCAGGACGCTCAGTTCCTCCTAGGCCCCAGCATAACGGGCTGGGTCCTTCAGTCCTCTGGTTGAATCCCTGCAGTTCCCCCAGCCCGACCCCCACAGTGATAGCTCTGCAAAGGCACAGTTTGTGGCAATGTCACGGACCATTCAGAACACCCAACTCCTCCTCACTTTGAAGTATCCTGCTTGAAAGCATTTGCATGCACAGAAACAGATACCATTTCTGACAGGTTCACGCGCGGGCTGGTGCCTACTTCCATATACAGACATGTGCCTCCGGAACAATACGGACGTACTGCTAAACACACACATAAATCCTTCACACAGGCAGGCACACTCATGGACACATTATACTCTTAGACACAGTCCTACAGACTTATCAGAAACTAGCAGAGCCTCCAATGGCTACTCTGGTCCCCTCCCAAGCTGGAATCCCCCTGAGGGTGTACCCCCACCTAGCACCCCAAGTGGTCCCTCCCAATTCAGGCAGCGCTCAATGGAAGCTGCTGCTCCTGCGGGGGAGTCAATACCCTGTGGACGGAGCCATCGGTCAGAAGGACCCCGACTAATTAAAAGCTGGTGAGGTTTAAATAATTCATCTCTTTAACTCCCATTGATCGTCCAGTTTAGTGGCCACAGACTAGAAACAATATTAAACAGCCTCCTCCAGCTCCACAGGGCGGTGGGGGTGGGGTGAGTAAGCTGACATGTGCCCACCCTCCTGAGGACCCTGCCCCCCAGCCATGAGTTGGGGACTCTGAACTCAACGCCACCTATGACTCACCCAAAGCCTAGCTCCTAGCTTTCTCCAAAAAGTTGTTCTGAAAAGTCCTTTCCGATGGTCCTGTTTCCATAATCCCCTCCCCCCAGCTATGGATACAGTCTCACTGGGGTACTGAATGAGCCATGGAGCCCCTCTGTGGGCCACAGCACTGGGGCGTGAGGGCAGGGGACTGGCCGAGCTGCCAGGGGGATATGCAGAGGGACTGACCAATGCCGCTGTGGGGCCGACCTATGTGTTGCAGGCTGAGGCCCTTGTTCATGTCTAGAAGTCCATTCTTGGGCCAGCAGCCCATGGCGAAGCTGTAAGCCTGGAAGACAGAAGGCAGAAGGCAACAGCAGTTAACAGAGGCCCCAATCCCTGAACCACCCTCACCCCCTAAACACCCCTCCCCACCAAGGGCTTACTCGCTGGAGGCCAGTTCCCTTTTCACCTCCTTCTCCGCTCACTAAGTGCCCCTCAGCGGGGCTCCTCTCTAGAGAACTCCTGGTCTCTAAGATCTCTCTTATCAGGAGCAGCCCCTCACACCTTCACCGTGTACCCTTCCTCAGATACCCGCCCCCCGCCCCAAGAGCTCCCAGCTCTTTGCTGGGCTCCCTCTCCTCAATGTTGTTGGTCACAAAGACTGGTCTTGGGAAGAACCTTGGAGACCAGAGTATCCAAATTTTACCCAAAGGAAAAGAATCCTGAAGCAAGAGCTAGCCAATGGCCTGCCACGGTCATGTTGCTTTAGGCCCTGAGCGAAGCAGGCTGTGGGGAAGGCTCTGAGTGCCATGTGGAGGCTCAACTGAGGAAGGGAGTAAGGTCACCTGGTTGACTCAACCAGCTGTGAGGGAACAGAGTGTGTGTGTGTGTGTGTGTGTGTGTGTGTGTGTGTGGTGGGGGGAGCAGACGCTCTGCTGAAGGTCAAGTGTTCACTTATGCATATTCAAAGCGGCCACCCATCGATCTGTACTTAATTGTTTTCCTGGGGTTGGGGAAGGAAGTGCTGGGGGCATCGATCTGCTCAGGCCCCCAGCACTCCTTTGCCCCCCTCCATTCCCTACCCGCGCCACCTCCATCAGCGGGGACACATGGCAGGGTAGGGACAGTACCTTCCCTCACGGGCATGACTGAGCTGACGTCACAGATGAGGAAACTGAGACCCAGAGAGAAGAGACCTCATGGGTTAGAACACTACCAAGTGTCTGGACGGGATTTAATTCCTGCTTAGCCTGCTAACAAAGTCCTCGGTATCTACCTGGGGCTAGTAGCCAGCTCACCCTTCAAACATTACCCACTCCCTCACTTCAGAAGTCCCTGAACACCAGGCTGTTCTCCTCCCAGTGGCAGGAAGGTGACAGTATGCAGGACCCTGGTCGGTGGGAATGAAGCTTGAATACATTTCCAGAAGTTGGATGGTGGGTCTAGTGATGAAAGTAAAGTGATTGCCAGCCATGTTCAGACACGCACTGCGGTGCCTGCCGTGCCCCTGCTGGGCACCGGAGGTCCCCACCCGACTACACACAGAGGATAGGGATCAGCATAGGGTCAGAAATGAAAGGCAGGAGGCTGGACACAACAGTGTGCCCAGTGGCTGGGCAGAGGACCAGTAGCACCTGTCCATCCCAGGGGCAGGAACCCACCCTCCAACCCCATGGCTAAGAGGCTAGGGTCTGTTGCACTTAATGCTCAGCACCCTCCAACACCATTTTCTTTGACCACGGAAGGACCAGTCACAGCCCAGCTTCTCAGTAAGTATTTTCCTACCCTTTCCCAGGCCACAGCTGTACCCACAAATCAGGGCCTGACTGTGAGGCTCAAGGACAGAGTGGGAGGATGCTGGCATAGAGCTGGGGCAGAGCCAGGGCACAGGCAGCAAGGGGAAGCAGCCAGTGGGCGGTGCACAGCTGGAGGAGCTGCTGCTGAGCATGGCCAGGGCCGAGGCTGGAGCGCAGCGGGCCAGAGAGCAGTGGCGGGCGCCTTTCAAGTACTTTAAAATCACTTACAAAGGCCGGATTAAACGATCAGAAATTCCATTTAATAGGACAAATAAAGAAATAACAATCTACTCTATCAGCCTGGAGAAGGCGAGCTGGATGGTTTTTTTTTTCCCCTCTAAAAAGGAAAAAGGGAAGGAAGGGGGAAAAAGAAGGATAATGTGTGTTTACTCAAGCAAAGAAAAAAATATTTAAGTGATGTCGGGGAGAAGATTGCAGTAACTAGTGAAGAATAACATCGTCTACTTTGCTGTCAAATCACAGCCGAATTTCAGTAATAGATTCTCGGCTGACACTCAATTCAATTCGAAGGTGATCCTGCTTTATCCCAGCCCATCAAATATTAAACACTTGCATTAGCAGGTGCTGCCGCTTCCCGGCTTAGAGCGGCGGGCGGGCGGCAGGGCTGCGGAGGCTCCTCCGCTCTGCTGGCGGCTTGGGGACAGGGCAGCTCAACGTTATCTGCACGTCATCCCGAGCCTTATCGCTGCTAAGCGGGAAGACCACTTCAGATAACATTAGATGCTTGCCCCGCGCGTCACCATGATTAGATTATCATTATAATTATGACTCCCCAAGATCTACAGGCTGGCATGTGTAGAAGAGGAATGGAAGGGCAACAGCAAAGCCCAGGAGGGCCAGGCTGGACCAGGGCAAGCCAGAGCCTCTGGCTGGAGGGCAGTGGTACCAAGCACGGCGTGGCCTGGTCCCGCCTGACGGATGCCTTTCAGGAAGGGCAGTCTAGCTTGTCAGCGCGAGGACGAGATGAATTGGCGTCTCTGCTGCGGCCGCGGGTGTCATGCCGCACGGTTTCATATTCCCAGATAAGACGAGATAACCAATTGCTGCCGTGACATGGCCTCATCCAGCACCTCCTTGGGGGCATGGGGTGGGGGGCAGGGGAGGCACGTGCACATGGGTCTGCCAAGCTCCTAATAAGAGGGATTTAATTTTTACAAATGCTGCTTCCAGCGGGGCCTTCACATCCCAGCCAAAGTCCAAAATGATATTAAAACTGGTTAATTAAAACTGCTCTCCTTCAGCCTGGGCTCTCCTCCTGTTGCCCCTGCTGAGAACTCCGGCATGGCTCTCCCAGGTACTGAAACACAGCCCTGCAGAGCTGAAGCTTCAGATGTGGCCAGCCTCTTGAAACTGCCCTAGGCACAGTAGCAGGGTCCAGCACCCCAGGCTCCCCCCGACTTCTGCCATCTCAGGCACTCCTCAGACACAGCCAGCAGACACAGACAGCCACCCAAAGAACCCAGAGACTCCAACAGCAACCTGCGCTCCTGCCAGTGTCAGGTCCACATGTGCATACCTGCTGCCCCTCTGCATCTGTCTCCACACGCCCTCAGCCCCAGCACTCGCTTCTAAAGCCCAACCCTTGTCCCCACATATCTGCATCTGGAGTGGTCCAATGACATGTATACCCACATGCTCCTACCATCTACTGGTCTCTCCCTCTGGGCCCTCTGCCCATTCTGGCCCTCCTTGCTACTCACAGACACAGAATGAGATGACATCTGTCTACAAGCCTTGCTAGAGCCGTTCGTGAACCAGCTCAGCGCAAGGTGATATGGGCTAGGCGTCAGAGACTCTGGCTGAGAAGCTAAGGCTGGCACCCAGGGACTCATCAGAATAGGACAGGGAGGCTAAGCCCAGAGGGCCACCCACAGCGGGCAAGGAAGACAAGCAGGTCCATGTGGGGTTGGAGGAGGCTAGGGAAGCTTCCTGGAGGGCCTGGAGGGTTTGACAGATGACAGTAGGGTATAGCGCTCTAGGCAGAGACATAGCAAGGACAAAGGAGGAAGCACACTAGAGCTTGGGTGTGACTGGACAGACAACTTGGAAAGAAAGAGTGACATCCTAAGGCACTGCCTCCGAACTCCATGTGCCAACAGCAACTTGGGTCTCTAGGGGTCTTATGTCCACCCTTTGATCCCTGCCTGCTTCCTCCCTCACATGTGCCAGCCTGGGGGAGTGGGGGAAGGGCCCACAAGCTTTCTGACCTTGAGCTGCATGGGGCAGGAATCTGTTCTCACAGTTCTCTCCAAGAGCTTGCACCTGAGCACCTCTCCCAACGAATGCTGCTTCCAAATTCTCTAGGAGCCACTTCTCCTGTGGCACCTCTTTCAGCTCTCAGGTCCACCTGCCCAATTGTGCACAGTCAGCAGCTAAACCCTGGGGAGACTTAGACAGAGGGTGGGACAGGCGGGAGGATGAGCGAGGAGCTCCTGAATCCCATCCAGGGCAGGTACCGACGCTGAGCCACATGGATGGGTGGAGTTAGGGGAAAAGACGCTGGGTCTACCAACCCAGCCCAGCCCAGCCCTGTGCCAGGCAAGCACGCACACTTCCCTTCCCCTGGGCTGCTGTAATTTCCATGCGCGGGGAAGCAGGTGCCGAGCTGCTCCCGGCTGGCTCTCCCCTCTTGTGGCTCTGCCCGCCTTGGCTGCTGCCCCATTAGCTTAGTGGCCAGCCATCTGCGACGGGCCTGCCGCACAGCCCTGCTGTAGGCGCGGCGGGTGGCCCCCTGTGTAACAGGGAGCTTTGCCATTAGCGCCTTTAATATTCTGACACCTCAGCACAGCCTGCTATTACATGCAAACGCTGATCGCCCTGTGAAATTACATTGCTGGGCCCGCGAAATGGAATCGTGTATAATCAGCCTCCTCCATGCACTGTCAGTCCCATCACAAACACGGCGCCCGGCGGCTTACGGGGGCTTAGCAGCTGCGACAAGTGTATTGGGTTTAATAGATGAAGTAGCCCTCGTCGGCAGCAGCATCAGATCCTTCAAAGAGGAAAGACGAGGCATCAACAGCTGCTATGGTGTCTCTGCCCACCCGTGCACTACCTAGCAGGGCACTGAGCATGGGGTGACACAGAACGGGCATGGCAGTGGTTGGGCCGAAGGGTTAGAACCCAGCTCAGTCTGCAGACAGAAGTACAGACTGCTCTGTAACTTCCAGAAAACCCAGAGCTTCAGAGCTACCACCAACACAGGTGCACCAACACATTCAGCCTGTGTGGCCTCCCCATGTGGGAGATGAGGAGGAGCAGGCCTTTAATCATATCTCTGGATGACTTTGTCACCCTCTGTGGGCCTAGGACTGATGGGCCATTTCCCTGGACTAGGAACCATACCAAACACCTGCCATTTTCATAACACCCAACAGAGGTGATGCTATAGAGGTAATATTCTCAAGAATGGGGGAGAAAGTCTGACAGACATAAATACTGCTAAACTTTTTATCCAACTAACACTTCTGTAGCTAGGGAATCAAGTGCCTAGGCCACAGTTCATACTGGAATGGCATATGCCATGCATACCTAGAGCACACCCAGTAGTCCAGGTCTCCTAAAGGCAGTATGCTCAGCACCCAGGGGTCATACAAATCGGGATTTGATTCCTAGTTCTGCCGGGTATTAGCACTATAATTTTGAAAGAACTATTAAGCCTCTTTGTGCCTCAGTTTCTTGTACTACAAAATGGGATAGCAGTACTTTCCCCAGGTGTATCTGAGGTCACTCAGGAACACTCACCAGATATTCCCAGTGCTACCACTTAACACACATTTTGACTTTCATTGTACTCTCCCTTCTCCAGTTTCAACCCAACACCAGCAGTGGCAGACTGTATTTTCCAGTGATGGCTGTAACACTGTCTCCCATCGTACAAGCTCTTCTCACACAGTGATTCTGACATATCTGTAATCAACAGAGGGAGTCGATGCCCCTCCTCTGCCTGGGAATCAGTGTGGGCTTTGTGACTATTTCAACTGATAGTGCACTGCAGAAGTAATGTGACTATTAAGAAATGCTCAGGGGGCCGGTGCTGTGGCACAGCAAGTTAACGCCCTGGCGTGAAGCACTGGCATCCCATATGGGTGCTGGTTCAAGACCTGACTGCTCCACTTCCAATCCAGCTCTCTGCTATGGCTTGGGAAAGCAGTAGAAGATGGCCCAAGTCCTCAGGCCGCTGTACCCATGTGGGAGACCTGGTAGAAGCTCCTGGCTCCAGATCGGCGCAGCTCTGGCCGTTGTGGCCAATCAGGGAGTGAACCATCGGATGGAAGACCTCTCTCTCTCTCTCTCTGCCTTTCCTCTCTGTGTAACTCTTTCAAATAAATAAATAAATCTTAAAAAAAAAAAAAAAAAAAAAAAAGAAATGCTCAGGTGCCTTCCACTTCCATCTCTCTTAGTAATTGCCCTGGAACCTTAAGTTGTCCTGTGGCAGTCATGCTGTGAGGAAGCCGAAACCCATGCGGAGACCACACAGAGAAGCCAGGAGACAAGGTAAAGAAAGACAGGGCTGCCATTGTGGTGCAGTGGTTTAAGCTGCTGTTTGCAAGGCTGGCATCCCATATCAGAGTGCCAGTTCAAGTCCCAGCTGCACTGCTTCTGATCCAGCTCACTGCTCATGCACCTGGGAAAGCAGAAGATAGCCTTAAGTGCCTCCTCAGGCCCCGGGTCCATCTAGCATCCCCTTTCTATAGTTTCTAACCTCCCTCTCTCTGCTGGCTCCTTCCTGCTAGAATTCAACCACAGGCCTGAATCTTTATTATCTTTACATAACTTCTTTTTATATTTTTTTAAAATTTATTTGACAGGTAGAGATTAAATAGTGAGAGAGACAGAGAGAAAGGTCTTCCTTCCATTGGTTCATCCCCCAAATGGCCACCACGACCGGTGCTGTGCCGATCTGAAGCCAGGAGCCAGGTGCTTCCTCCTGGTCTCCATGCGGGTGCAGGGCCCAAGCACTTGGGCCATCCTCCACTGCCTTCCCAGGCCACAGCAGAGAGCTGGACTGGAAGAGGGGCAACTGGGACTAGTACCTGGCGCCCATATGGGATGCCGGCATCACAGGCGGAGGTTAACCAAGTGAGCCATGGTGCCGGCCCTACATAACTTCTCTGTGCCTTAATTTCCTCTTGTAAAGTGAGGGTAATAATGGTTCCTGTCCTCTATGGCTGATGTGAGGATTGAATGAGTTATTGTATGTAAAGTGCTTAAAACTGTGCCTTGCTCTTTGAAAGTTATATAAATATTAGATTATTATTTTTAACACCCCCCCCCATTCACCTGTCTCCATCCACTTATTCCTTGTTTTCCTGTTAACAACCAAACTTCTCAAAATTATCTCCATTTACCTGCCCATCATTACTTAATTCCTTGAGGTCTATTGTCCATCCTTACCACGGAGCTTAGCCCCTGTCAAGGTCAACAATCCTCACCATGCTGCCCCCCACGCCCCCATATGTCTGGACAGCCTCGTGTTCTTCCATGCTCTCACCACTCTGCAGCCTACTTCATCTCTGAATCCCCACCTTTGGTTTTCCTGATATTCCACTCCTTCAGTTGTCCCACTTGTCTCCTGTGTCCCTCACAATTGCCGCTGTAGTTTCTGCATTTGCTCATCTTATTCATGCACTCATATGCTCTACACGCACTCCTCCCTTTTTTCTCTATGTGCTAACATTCTCCTTGTGTGATCTCAACTCCCTTGTCTTCAACCTTATACACACATATTATAAAATAAGATGTAATAATTATATATAACACACACACATACACGTTCTGGAGCAGGTGTTCAGCCTAGTGGTTAAGGCTCCTGGGTCCCACATCAGAGTACCTGGGTTTGATTCCTGGCTCTAGCTCCCGACTCCTGCTTCCTGCTAATGCAGATCTTGGGAGAGCAGGTGATGACTCTAATAATTGGGTCCCTGCCATGCAGGAGACCTAGATTGCGTTCCCAGCTCCCAGGTTCAGGCTTAGCCAAGCCTCAGGCATTTGGGGCACGAACAGGCAAATGAGAGTGCTCTCTCTCATATGAATAAATGAAATAATACCATTTTATATAAATATTTCAAATATATATTTAATATATACAAATTTAACAAAATTTAACATACTTAAATATATTCAATGTATATATAAATGTATTTTCTATTGTCTACTTTGGATTTCTCACAGACACTTGATTCTCAGCATGTTTAAAACCCACTTCAACATCTCTTTAAACTGCTTTTTCTCCTGGATCCCCAAATCCCAGTGAAAGCCATTACCATCCACCCGGTCTACCAAGCCAGAAATATGGGAGTCAATCTTGACTCCCTCCTCTTCCTTCCTGCTCAAGACCTGAGAATGTTGGTTCATGCTTCCAAGACTTAATTCAAGCAATTCTAGGAAGCAATTCCTAGAATGCCTTCTGCTTTCTCCCATTCTGTGTCCTAATCTTTCAATACACAACTCAAAAGTACCTTTCTTCACAGTCTTCCTGACCCATCTTTCCTTTAAGCCCTCTGAACAGCCCTGCAACACTGATCTGTTCACAAACTTGTGGTCCCTCTAAGGAAGGGCGGCGTCTGCTGTCTGAATGGCCTTCACCGAGGGAAGGCTGCAGCAGAAAGACATCTCCCTGGGCTCACTTCTGCCAAGCACGAACACCCAGTTTCCACTGCTGCTGCTCGGCCAGTCCTACTCCAGCCTCCTCCAGGAACCACTGCTGTTCTTGCCCAGCACAACAGCACTCTTCCCATGGCCATTCTTGTAGCTGGGTGCTCAGCTGCCAGTGTTTAGAAAGGAGACTGTTCTGCTTCCTTTCTCCTTTTCTAAACTCTTCAGCCAATGGGTAGCCCCTTACCTGATTCTAGCACAGAGATGGCAGCAAAATGATGGGCACTTGCATCGGGTGACACAAGCCCATCTGCCCTAACCCCAGCTGGTAGTTCTGTTGTGTGCAGTGTTCTCTGGCTACCAACATACTTCAGGGGACCCCGAGCTGCTGCTGCCTCTGCCCATCAACAGACCTTGAGTGGGATAATTATCCTGTGAACTTAACCTCGCTGCTCACTGCCTACAACAGTACTGCTGCCTCTAGTGTGCCGGGTCACCACCACAGCAAAGGGAGGGGGCTGTGCCACAGCTCTGGGTTCCACCATATATAGACCTGGGGGACCCCAGGAGTGGAGGACAGATGCCAGTTCAACTGATCCCTTAGGGTCCTGAGTATTTTTGGATGGAGTTATCTCCTTCATGTTCCCGGATCCCTTGGCTTCACTGCTGAGTCAGAGGGGGCTTGGGGACACTGAGGTTTCTGGGATTAGAGCAAGATAAGCAGCCCAGGAGCCAGGCTGCCTCAGTGCCTGCAGAGGAGGTGAGCTCCACGTGCACCATCACAGAGTCTAAGGCAGCACGTCAGTCTGAGCCAGATGCCCAGGGTGAAAGCTACATTTGGAGTTTTCTTTGTTTTCATTACAATTTCCTCTCCCACTGCTTCTTTTTAGTCAGCCCTTGCCTCCCCGGGGTGCTGAGGATTGAATGAAACACCACCCCCGGCTCCAATAAGTGTATTTCAATTACATCTGTCACTGCATAACGATATAATGATATATCATGTGATATTAAATCCATGGTAATCATATCAGGGATTTTTTTTAATCGTGCACTAATCGCATTATTACATCTCTATAATTAACAACAGGAGGTATGGAAATTCAGTTAAGGCAGTAGGCTCAGGGTATTCCCTCCACCCCACACCCATTCTAGCTCCCCTAGATTAGGACCCGATTAGGAGTTGGAGTCTTTAGGGCACCAGCAAGCTGGGCCAGAGCTCCCACCTCTCCATGTCCAGCCCTGGGCAGGGCTTCCAGGGCAGACAGGGACAGTCCAGACTGAGACCAGAGTATTGGTCTCTCTAGTGGCTGCTCAGGAATGAGCCTGGGGCAGAGCCCACACAGAGAGATCCAACAAGGCTCACTTGAGCCTCCTGTACTCCTACACTCCTGTGACTGCAGCACTAGATTATCTACATGGGGAGGGATGTTATCATTTCTTCAAACCAGCAAGGCTCTCCCAAGCATCTGCAAGGCCTACAGCAAGTTCCCAGCTTGCGGCCTCCTGTAGCTCCATCTGCGACTACTACATGCTCTCCCTCTATCTGACTCAGCCCTCAGCCGGCTCTTACATCATCAGGGCCAGCAGCTGTGCTGCCTCTGCCGGCTGGTCCTATCATGCTTGACCACGCTGAACAAACCCAATCCCTCCTCCCCAATTCTCTCCCAAAGGTCTGGCCCTTCATATTACACTGTAAATGTTGTTTTTGTTTTGTTTTGTTTTGTTTTTTGATAATCACTAAGGTTGCTTCCCTGTACCCCCAAAACAGCCTAGGTTCTTCTGTCCTCCCCCTTGCCCAGGCCTAGATAAGGACAGGAGGTGCTAGAGACTGCAGCTTGAACTATGTCAGATGACCCTGTCTCTCCTACCCCCTTCCCAATACGGAGCTGTCAGGGCTAATCCCCTCAGGGGTGTCAGAACCAGTCTGCAAAGCAGAATTCTATGTTTCAAGTCCAGAGCTTTGAACCTGGCATGTAACTAGTCCTCAGTGAGGGGCAGGCATTTTGCTAAGTTTGACTCTCAGAAGTTGGACAGGCCTGAAGATAAAAGACAAAAATCATGTCCTTTTTCCTAATAAAAAGGAGACACTAATAGCAGTCAGCACTTAAGCAAAGCACTTTAAGTTTCTAAAGTGCTTTCCAAATTAAAATATAATCCTTTATTGAGCATGCAACACCACCACCACCAGCTGCCCACCCCTCACACAGGAAGGCGTGTTTACAGAGCACACCCACCTTCACTGATTCCTTCCTGGCAAAAAGGAGAAGGGTGTTTAGAACATTCATTCCAGATCCCCCTCCCTCTTGAGTGGATTACTCCCACATTACACACGCTTTTTTTGAGCAACTAGGTGCTGGGGGTACACAGCTCAAGCAGACCAGGCCACTGCCCTCAAGCAGCTCCCAGGCTAGAAGGAAAGGCAGAGATGCTTGTAAAACTACACAGACAGGACCCTGATACTCCCAGAATCCTGAAGGACAAATCCTGGCTACAATTGAGGGCAAGCACCACGAAGGCCCAAGATGGCCTTTGGTGGGACACACTAGGCTGGGAGCGCAGTTCAGCGGTCTGAGGGCTTAGACAAGGAAGTCCTAAGAAAGCAGGTGAGTGGCACACGAAACTAGGGGTGGGTAGGGTCACCCAGGGAGAGAGTAAAAGCCTGCAGAGTCAGATGAAGCCCTCCTCTTCTCTGATGCTGAGAGGGAAAAAAGGAAGCCTGAAAGATGAGAAGGTGGAACACCAGCACCTCCAGAGCTAAGGCCCAAAGAATCTTCCCTCTGGGGCACACCCAGCATCCTGCCCCTGTCCCTGTCCTTGTCCAATCAGTCCTCACTCTACCCAGGTAGAAAGTGAAGAGGCCATGCTTTGGAAGCCCACTGACTGATTCAGAGCAAGTATTTATTGAGAACCTATAACATGCCAGGCCATGTGCACACAGAGACACAGCACCATCCTCAGAGAGCTTGCAGTCTACTGGACAAAGAAGACTGGAACTTAGTAGCCACACAAATCATTAAGTTGCAGCCAGAAAAAGGGCTCAAAGAGGAAACATAAGTTGTTGTGTTGGGTCAAGAGAGGGGAGTTTGGCCCAGTTGGGAATAGCTCCCTCATGACAGGAAACTGACTGGGGACATACTAATGCCTGTAGGCAAACTATGCCCCAGCAAAGGAAGGCAATCCAATCAAGGCCAGTATCCTTGGAACAAAGAAAGCAAGCATGAAACAGGCTGATGAGGAAAGCAGGGATGCAACCCATGCAGGGCCTCAGAAGACACAGCAAGGCCACCCAAGGGCCTCCCACCATCACGCTATGAAGCTTGCAGCACTCTAACAATGTTAAAGCTCAGTTCTTTTGCACACCTATTCCTCTCTATACCTAAGGGTAGTCAGGCCTTGGAAAAACTGAGAGAACCAAGACCACTTTCTGTCTATAAGGAAAGGAAGAAACTACATAAGCATTCATTCATGGAACATTCACACATTCACAGAATGCCCGCTAGTCCTGGCAACTCAAATGGAATCGCAGGTAGAGCCTACCCTCACAGAGCTCACAGTTCTTTCAGGGGAAAGACAGAGAGAAGCCACTCTGTGCCCAGTGATGGTGAACAACAAGTGTGTAGAGAGAATCACAGCAGGGCTATCCAGGAGGGAAGCCCTCAGGCCTCTGGAGCCCAGAGCCAGCTTTCTGATCCTCGAGCGCAGGCTGAGTGGGGACATCGGTGTGAGGGGGACTGCAAGCCACAGATCCTGCAGAGGGGAGCTGAGCAGCAAGCAGCAGGCGGCTACACCAGGATCTTCTGCTCACAAAGACCACGGCTGAAGGGATGTGAGCAAAGCCACAGAGGAGAGGCGGCAGCTCACTATACTGCCCCAGAATGACAGGAAGGGGGCACCTGTAGAATAAGCAACAGGACTTGAAGACTTGAAGATCGAGAATCATTTCAGGAAATGGTAATTCTAGGCACCAGGCCTCCCACAGTTTCCTCAATGGAAAATGAGGGGGCTTAATTACTGGATTTTTAAGGCCCCTTCCTGGTTAAAAATTTACAAGGTCTGAGGGGCTTCAAGCTTCTACAGCAGTGGTTTCTTTCTGCCCCCACTTCTGTGTTTAAACTAGTCCATCACCTAAAACATTTACCTTCTTCAACCAGCTCCCAATCTGTCTGCCAGGATTCTACCTTCAGGAAGCCATTTTGGAATTCTCTCCCCACTACCCTCCACGTTCTACCCTGACCTCCACAACAGCACTCTGCCTAATCATATACTACATATGGTCCTGCAACTCCTGGTTGGCTGGTCCAGGGCTTAACCCCTGACGTCCATTTCAGAGGCAGACGGGAAGCTCTACTCAGGCCCTCCATGCGGGTGGATGGTTTTGGCTTGAGGTCGGGGTTCCTCTTCCCTCTGCCCACAGTCCTGTGAGAACTCGACAGGCCTCCACTTGAAAAGGGTGCTGAAAGCAATGATGTCTCCAAGTGCGATGGGAGATATTTGTGTCTGCTTTACCCTTGGCTTTTTGCTCCGGTTCAGGTAGGAGCGGGGTGGGCCGGCTGGCAGATCTGAGAGCGCGGCACGCCCCAGCGGGCAGGGCGCACAGCGCGGAGGAAGGCGCGAGTCAGTCTGGAGTGCTCCCCATTTATCAAGCTCACGCAGGCCGCCAGCCGAGCGAGTCTTTCTATCATTACACCTCTCAAAATCCGATTCATACCACTAATCCTGCCTTCATTCTCCCAGATTAATAACATCTCTTTCAACCTTCACAGTGTGATAAATAGACAAAGAGAGAACAAAAGGAGAGACAGAAGAGAGAGAAAGAGCTGGAGCAAGTCCCCATAATAGAGAGAGCCGAGAAAGAGGAGAGGGAAAAAAGCAGAGAGCGCGCGTGAAGGCAGCGGCCAGAGTCTGCAGCTACCTTAGAGAGCCGCTCAGAGGAGAGCTGGCGGCTGCGCCCCGCTATGCGCTCCTCTCCGTCCCCAAAGAGAAAGAAAGGCTCGTTAACAGCTCCTTCCTGCCTGCACTTTTGTTCAAATTCTTTTCTTCCCTTCCAATCCTGCTTTAGGTCAAATTCCAGTGAAAATGAGTCTCTGGGCTTCCCGGTCTCCTTCCAGCCTCCCAACCAGGTTATGGAACCAAGCTGGCCCTTGGCAGAGGGCTGGGTCTGGGTACAAAACAGGCCTGGGCATAGGCTTAGCAAGGGTGCAGCAAGCAGGCCTGAAGCTTCACCGGAGCTGTTTCTCTACCCTGAATCCTCACCCCTTCCTTGCTCTTTTGGCAGAACAGAGAAGGGAATAGAGCAGAGGGAGGGCTTGGGATCCATTCCCAAAGGCTCTTCTCTGTACCTCTTTTCAACCTGAGGCTCCAAGCCCACAGCAGCCAGCCAGGCTTCCTAAAGCAGCAGCATGGTCCATACCTCCAAATTAAGATGAAGCCAACAGGAACAGGAAGCCCCCCTGGGCCCTAGTCCTACCCTAACACAACTCACCTCACCTCCGATGATATTTGCTCTCTGGCCCAGATGCTCACCCACCCTTTTCTCCACAGCATGCTCGCCATGCTCCTCACAGACCAGTCCCAGGTCCCCCTTCCACATGCCCATCTGAGCTCTTCTGGAGAATTCACTCCCTCATTCTGGACTCTGCAGGGCAACACCATTTACAACTGCATTACCCTGTAGTGACTCTGGGTTTTCTTTACTACACTGGGATTCTATCTTCTGAGTTCTCTATTCCCAGGTCCAAGCTGCCCACGATACTTCCATCCTTTCTTGACTTTGCCAAAACAAGCCCTGACCAAACACAGGTCAACCTTCTCTCTGGAATGCAACAGAGCCGGAGCAGAAGCACTCCACATGGGAAAGCTCAGACAGCCCTGCGCACCCAATGGCTGCATAATCCATCAGAGTAGGGCACTGCAACCCTTCCTTCCTCAGAACACTCGTGGCAATTTGGAGGGGTAGGGGTAGGGGTGGAAAGAGGGACTGGCATGTGAAGAAGGGAGCCCTGCCCTGCTCAATCTGGCTTAGTGGGAGGAGACACTCAGGGGAGTCAAGGCTTCCCCAAGGACAGAGCCTGAACAGGAAAAGTGCCTCAGCAGAAAACCAGGGGTCTGGTGATATGTTTAGAGGCAGGTCCTATCGAGGGAGCACCTTTTTATTTACTTATTTAAAGATTTATTTATTTATTTATTTGAAAGAGAGAGATACACAGAGACAGAGAGAAGATAGAGATATCTTCCATCTGCTGGTTCACTTTCCAAATGGTCACAATGGCCAGGGCTGGGCCAGGCCCAAAGCCAGAAGCCAGGAGCTTCATCTGGGTCTCACACGTGGGTGCAGGGGCCCAAGGCCTTGGGCCATCTTCTGCTGCTTTCCAAGGTGCAATAGCAGGAAGCTGGATCAGAAGTGGAACAGCAAGGACTTGAATTGGCACCTATATGGGATGCTGGCACTGTAGGCTGTAGTTTTAACCTGCTGTGCCACAGCGCCAGCCCCTTGAGGGAGCATCTTGCAGACACTCTCCAGACTCTTCTCTCCAAAAAGTCTCCTCTTCTCTCCCTCTACCTACTGTCCAAATCACAACTCTCTTTTTGGGACAAAATGGGTACAACCTACTCCTACCATCATCCACTCCTACAGATCTCATCATTTCCAGCCTCAACTGTCAATGTAGTGCTGAGTTAAATCTCAATTTGGGGGAATACCCTGAATGCTCAAACAGAAGAGCAAACCTCAGGGTGAAAGGGATGTTAAAATGGCTAAGGGTAGTCCTTAGGATCCTTTTTACAGAAAATTCAGAAGTTCCATTAACCTTTCCTCAGTTCCCACACCAGGACTCGCCACACTTTCTTCTATTCCACCTGACCTCCAGGATGATCAGACACCTGCAACAAGGAGAGTAGGAAAATGACAGGGACTAAAGTTCATCCGTGGGCCCAAGTGACCCAAGGAGGTGGGGGGGGGGGGGCTGAAGAGGAAGGGCGGGAGGGAGGGAGAGAGGGAGAGAGGGAGAGAGGGAGAGAGGGAGAGGGAGAGAGAGAGAGATGTGTATGTGTGTGTTACATGGTCTCAGAGAAGGAGACCAGTCCTCCCTAGTCTACCAGTGTCCTGGACTTCAGCATATGGTAGATCCAAGTGGCAGTACCAGTCCACATACCTCCAAGCCTAAGATCACAGGAAGACTCCTGAAACATGGATCCCAGGCCTCTTCTTTCCTAAGAGTCTGTGTTACTGGGATACCAGGCAGCTTCAACCAGCGTCAACCCTGCCACCTGCCTATATCTAAAGCTGCCACACACGAAGAAACCAGTGACTTCCTGGACAGCTTCCCCAGGGACTCAGAAAGCTGCTCCAACCTTTGCAGCCCACCTGACAGAAGCAGAGGCCTAGGCTCAGAAGAGAAGTTACGGCAGCCCCTCAATCCTCTGCCTCTATTGCCAATCCTTACCCAGCACACATTCTCACCCCTCCCAAGCTCTGCTTCCTCCAGCTCCTGAAGCCTTCTCTGAACCCTTCCTCTCCAGGTCACTCAGGTCAGAGGCCTGAATCTCCTCTCTCCTTGGAGGCTCTGTCTTTCAGTTGAGAGAAACACTAGACCTCAGTAAGGGACCTGTTTCGGGATCAAGTAGAAGGCAGGCAGATACAACAGGGTCTCTGGTAGATCAGGAAGCCAGATCTGAGGGATGCTTTTCCCTCACTTCTGAGCACCTGGTTCTAGAGCTTACTCCTCCAGGCAGCCAGTGGCACAGAGCTCAGAAGGGGAAGTTGGGTCTTAATGTGTAAAAAGCTCCAGCAAAGCAAAATCATTTACTCTTCAGTGCGACTGCTCAGCAGAGCTAATAAATCTTGCATGAGCAGGGCCGATTCTAATTTCCTAATATGAAAAGGCATTTGGATTGAGAGAGAGGGGGAGATAAAAGTGATTGAATCTCCAATAGTCCAGGTTACTGACAAGAAACATCCTGCTCAGGCTGAGAGAAGGATGGCAGTGCCTGCCCGCCTGCATACACCCATCCGTTCTGCCCCCCTCTTGGTGTGATACATCTCAGTCTCTTCTATTGACAGGACGTGGCTTTAAACACAGTTACACAAGTTATCATTTCTGCCTTCTGATCAATCTGAATTTTCAGGACAATTACCCTCTTAATCAATGATTGCTATCAGCAGCCCCGCGCCTGGACGGATTTCTCAGCAAGGTAATCATGCCGCCAGGCTGGACGGCGCGTGCATAGGCAATGAAGCTCCGGGTGGGGTCCCCTCCCTCTTTCCTGAGCCCCCATATCCTAGTGCCGCTGCCAGCATCGAGGACAAGGACGGCAAAGTGTGAAGGCCACTTCAAGGAGTGGTGGGAGTAGGAGGAAGGGGGTGGGGGGAGGCCAGCCACCCAGTCAGCTTTCCAAACCACCAGATTATGGAACAAACCTATTAAAACTCTAGATTTACTGCCCACTGCCCTGATGCATCTCCACATGCCCTCCTGCCATCATTCCTACCTCCTAATTAGCCTAATAAAGTCCAATTCTAATTATGGGCTCAAACTATTAGGGTGAATAAGTACAAAGAGAAGAAAAATATTGGCTTTACTAGTTTCTCAGAAGCTATCGGTTGTAGAAATTCCTTTTCTTCCACGGACCTGGTACATACCGGCTGTTGACTGGCATCCTCTTCTGGTAACCAGCCTGGCTCCAAGCAAAAATATCACCCTGCCCAACACTCATGTCCTCCAGGATTCTCTCCCAATCCCAGCCCTCCCTGCACAGAACAATCCAGAGACCCTCAGGAGAAGCAGGCAAGAAAGCAGAACAGTGGAATTAGCAGTGAGTGAGCTGGAGGTCTTATTTGCCACCCAAGAGAACTCAGGGAAGTTTCTCAGATCACTTGTTGTTGGTCCAGGCCTGAAGGCAGAGAGACCAAGAGCAGAATGAAGAGGGCATGGTCCAGGACACCGACAAATGGACTTAAGACTCCAGCTAGAGTGGCAGATATGCACTCACGGCAGAGTAGCCTTTGGGAATACGTCCCAACAATTGGCTGTAACACCCCAAGAGAGGAAAAGAATTAGAAAGTGGATGTGGCCGGTGCTGCGGCTCAATAGGCTAATCCTCCGCCTGTGGCACCGGCACACCAGGTTCTAGTCCCGGTCAGGGCGCCGGATTCTGTCCCAGTCGCTCCTCTTCCTGTCCAGCTCTCTGCTGTGGCCCAGGAGTGCAGTGGAGGATGGCCCAAGTGCTTGGGCCCTGCACCCGCATGGGAGATCAGGAGGAAGCACCTGGCTCCTGGCTTTGGATCAGCGCAGTGCGCAGGCCACAGTGGCCATTGTGGGGTGAACCAACGGCAAAAGGAAGACCTTCCTGTCTGTCTCTCTCTCTCACTGTCCACTCTGTCAAAACAAAACAAAACAAAAAGTGAATATATTTTTGTTCATTGACAATTACTCAGCACTACTCATGAGTTAAGTGATGGGGATACGGTAGTGTACAATACAGAAGTAACCCCTATGCTCACAGAACTCACAACTACTAGGAAAGACAGATAAATGTAGAAAGAAAGAAAAGAAAGGAAGGAAGAGAAAATAAAAATAGTAAACTTGAATTTGTGTATGAATGTTCATAGTAGCAGTATTCATAACCAAAAAAGTAGAAATAACTCAAATATCCATCAACTGATGAGTGAATACAAAATACAGTATATCCATAAAATTGAATATTATTCAGTGATACAAAGAAACGAAGTACTGTGTCAAGGTCCCACATGAAGGAACCCTGAGAACTATGCAATATAGAAGAAACCAGTCACACAGGTCATGTGTGTGGGAAATTCCCAGAACTGCCAAACTAGGCAAAATTATAAAGATGGAAGGTAGATTCGTGGATGCTTAGGGCTGGGAACATCTAGGGAGAAATGGGAAGTGATTGGTAATAGAGTTTCTTGGGGTGGGGGGGAGGGTGGCAAAAATGTTGTAAACTTACATGGTAATGATGGCTGCACAACTCTAATAACAGTAAGCTGTACATCTTAAATGAGTAAAGTGTTTGGGATGTGAATTATAGCTCAGTAAAATTGATATTTTAAAGTATATTGCTATGGGTTACTTATGTCTGACTCATACTGGAATTTAATCCTACTCTGAGAGGTATTAGGAAGGTGAGAAGTTCATATCAGACTAGGGTGTTCAGGGGGTGGAGCCACTGGTACTGGAAGTTGCTGGCTTTATAAGATGATGGACAGAGAGTACACCCACGTGGCCGGCACCGCGGCTCACTAGGCTAATCCTCTGCCTGCGACGCTGCTACTCTGGGTTCTAGTCCCGGTTGGGGTGCCAGATTCTGACCTGGTTGCTCCTCTTCTAGTCTAGCTCTCTGCTGTGGCCCAGGAAGGCAGTGGAGGATGGCCCAAGTGCTTTGGCCCTGCACCCGCATGGGAGACCAGGAGGAAGCACCTGGCTCCTGGCCATTTTAGGGGTGAACCAATGGACCTTTCTCTTTTTTTTTTTTTTTTTTTTTTTTTGACAGGCAGAGTGGACAGTGAGAGAGAGAGACAGAGACAGAGAGAAAGGTCTTTCTTTGCCGTTGGTTCACCCTCCAATGGCCACCGCAGCCAGCACGCTGCGGCCGGCGCACCACGCTGATCCGAAGCCAGGAGCCAGGTACTTATCCTGGTCTCCCGTGGGGTGCAGGGCCCAAGTACTTGGCCATCCTCCACTGCACTCCCTGGCCACAGCAGAGAGCTGGCCTGGAAGAGGGGCAACCGGGAAGAATCCGGCACCCCAACCGGGACTAGAACCCAGCCGGTGTGCCAGCACCGCAAGGCAGAGGATTAGCCTAGTGAGCTGCGGCGCCGGCTGGACCTTTCTCTCTGTCTCTCTCTCTCACTGTCTAACTCTGTCAAAAAAAAAAAAAAAGAGAGAGAGAGAGAGAGAGAGAGAGAGAGAGTACACCCATGTACATTCCCTGTCTCTCACCATGTGATGCCCTGTATGGCCTAAGGACTCTGCCACCAAGGTCACCAGATGTAGACCCTCACCTTTGAACCTCAACGAGAAAAAAACAAATCTCTTTGCTTTGTAACTTACCTAGTCCATAGGCTGGGCAACAGAAAATGCCCTAATGCATCTACTATGATCAAAGAAATGCAAGAAGCCTCCGCAGGCTCACCAATAGGGCACAGAGTCAGGGAAGGCTCTGGCATAGTGCCTCGCCCTCCAAAGACATCAAGATAGGTGCAGGAAGAGAGAGGAAGTTCCACTGGGAAACTGGAAAAGTCTTCATAGAGGACCTACGAAGCAGTAGCTGTCGTCTTTCTTTCAAAGATTTATTTATTTGAAAGGTAGAGTGACAGAGAGATGGAGAAAGAAGGAAAGAGGTCTTCCATCTGCTGGTTCATTCCCCAAGTGGCCACAACAGCCAGGGTTGGGCAAGGCCAAAGCCAGGAGACAGGGACTCCAATCTGGGTCGCCCACAGTGGTGTCAGAGCCCCAAGAAAGTACTTGGGCCATCAACTGCGGCCTTCCCAAGCACATTAGCAGGAAGCTGGATTGGAAGCAGCATAGCCGGGACTCAAACCCGCGCTCCCATATGGAATGCTGGTGATACAGACAGTGGCTTAACCTGGTGCCCCACAAAGCTGGCCTCAGAAGCAGGTCATGAAGGGTAAGCAGGAGTTCACTAGGCAGGAATGCAGCAAGAGCACTTGCAGGTAAGTGGAATGAATATGAATACAGCTGGAAGTGCACCTACAGGCTCTTGGCAGACTTTGGGGCTCTGAGGTCAGGCTAGACAGCTTGTACTTCATTAAGCAGACATCAAGGTTTTTCAAGTAAAGAAGATCAGTACAGGATAGTCTCAGGTTTGATGGTTCAGGCATGGGAAACAGTGTGTCAGAGTTG